CATCTCTAAGGGAAATAACCAAGCTGACCAGGCAGCCAGGATAGTGGCCCTCCAAGGCCCAGACCCCCCTCACCCACTGCAATGAACCCAACACACTGCAAACTGCGTCCTCACGGTCACCCCCTGACACTCGACAAATTCCGTCCTATCTACACCAGCTCTTTCATCCTAATGGCCAGGCTCTGTCTCATTTTGTCAAGGATCACCTCCAGCCTACCCCTGAGAACTTACACTTCTTAAAAACTATCACTGCCTCTTGTAAAATCTGTCAAAAGTCAGACCCCCTAATTCCAAATATCATAACTTCCCTTTTCCTACCCACCAGGCCAGGGAATCCCTCCCAGGGACAGACAGGCAACTTGATTTTACTCACATGCCCACAGTCAGATGGGTAAAGTATCTCCTGGTTCCAGTAGACACATTCTCAGGCTGGGTTGAAGCTTTCCATCTGCTAACAAAAGCGCTCAGACAGTCTCTGACCTCCTTCTCCAGGAGATTATTCCCCGATTGGGGATTCCTGCCTCTCTCCAGTCTGACAATGGCCCTGAATTCACCTCCCAGATTTCCCAAACATTATCTAAAGCTCTCAAGAGCCGTTGGCATTTTCATATCCCATACCACTCCTAGTCCTCAAGAAAGAGAGAACGAACTAACCTCTCCTTTAAAACAGTCTTGTTAACATGTCACAGGAACTTCCCCTTTGATGAGGTAAAACTCATGCCTCTGGTTTCAGGCTCTGGGCTCTCCCCAAACGACCCCTTTCCATGTTACCCTTTGAACTCATGTATTGGCGGCCAGTTCAAACCCCTCCAGTCTCTCATTTGAACCCTCAACTCGCCCTGATCACCTGCTTACACCCTCACTTCATCATCTCCATTCCCTCCTTTGGAACTTTACTGACCACTCCCTACCTCGACCATGTTCCAACCTCGGTCCATCTCTAATCAATACTGGGGGCTGGGTCTCTGTCTCTCTCTCTCTCATGCCGAGACCAATGCCCCTTATCCTTTCCCCCTAAATGGCAGGGCCTCTTTAAGGTAGGTCTTGTAACCCCCACAGCTGCTAAGCTTGAGGGCCTTCCTCATTGGATTCACCTATCTCACCTCAAACCCCTTGCTCCCCAACCTCAGGATAATCTCTCCTCACACTCAGTGACTCAAACGGGGCCTTGTTCCCTTAAGTTTCAGAGGACACCAAGATCAACTGGTTTGTTTCCAATTCCAGGAGGATGAGGCTTCACCCCACAATTGTACTCAACTCCACTGGACTGGGAACCCCATATGTTTTCCTTCCTGATCCCCATCCACGTTCTTCTGTCTCTACTGAACACACCCTGCTTCCTCAATTTTCCCTCTGTGTCTCCAATGACATAGTCCAATTTCTAATTAACTACTCAGCTGTTGTTACAGGGACCACCATTGGCCACAGAGCTTCAGGCGCAAAGTATCAGACATGCCCAGGTGTTCAGGAACATGCTATAGATACTCACACTCCCAGCCTCAAAAGGGAGACTCACAAAACAGATTCTAATATAACAAATTTATTATTGGCTGCCCTCAGCAATCAACCACCTATGTCTCTTGATTGTTAAGGTGATACCATGGTGATGAAAAAGGAAGAAGTGCCTTAAGGTTTGTTTCAGATGGAAATTAGAAAGTTTAAATGGCCATCTCTCTGTGTGTGTCTCTCTGTCTCTGTCTCTCTCTGTCTCTCTCTGTCTCTGTCTCTCTGTCTCTGCCTCTGTCTCTCTCTGTCTCTCTCTCTCTGTCTCTCTCCTTCCCTCCCTTTCTCCCTCTGAAACTGAAGGGAAGCGACCCCACCCTCACCCCCCACCTCCAGTTAAATGTTTTGGCTAATTAGGAGTTGCCTTGCTCATTGTCTTGGTCATGGTGAGCCTTCACAGCACTATAAGAGTGACTAAGACAGGGGCATTCTCATCCAAACCATCACAACGCCTCTGCCACAAACAGGAGGGTCGACCTGTATGAGTTTATTTCTATGTCTTCCATTCAATTACATTGATTTGTGGATCTGTTTGGGAGCCAGTACCATGCTGCATTTGTAACTATGACATCATCATGTAATTTAAGATCAGGTATTGTAGTACCTGAAGCATTAACTTTTGCTTAGGATGGCTTTGACTAGTCAGCATATGTGTGCACCAATGTAAATTTTAGGATTATTATTTTCCTCTAGATCTGTAAAGAATGTTATGAGAATTTTGATGGGTATTTCATTGAATCTGTTAGTTTTCTGCTGCTGTGCTAAAGCAACATGACCAAGGCATTTGATAGAAGAAAGAATTTATTTGGACTTATCGTTCAAGTGAGTTAGAATACACAGTGCCAGGGACAGAATGGCAGCAGGTGGTATGGGCGACATCAGGAGCAGGTAGCTGAACACTCGGGTCCTATTGGGTGCTATATCATTCCAACCAATGGATACTTTATCTTGGAAGGTCAGTGCGCTGGGCTGCCAGGCACCCGATCATTGACTAAATGGCTTGTCTGCACGCTTTTGGCTTCTTTGTTTTTCAGACAGGGTTTCTCTGTGAGTTCCTGGCTGTCTTGGAACTCGCTCTGTAGGCTGGCCTCGAACTCAGAGATCCGCCTGTCTCTGGTTGCCAAGTGTTGGGATTAAAAGGCATGCACCACCACCACCAAGCTGTGGGCATGCTTTTTTAGCTTCTTCAAAGATCTCCTGTTTTTTACTAAAAATATTGCTTTTTGAGTGTGGATCCTATATAAAGGTGGCCTTAAGACCAGAGGCCTGAGCCTTTGCCTTTGCCTTTGCCTTTGCCTTTGCCTTTGCCTTTGCCTTAGCCAGCCTGCCTGTGTGTTTGTTGGCAGGCCTCCGTTCATACCACCATGTGTTCCCTGGACCCATGTGGTTCTCATGTGTGTTGGCCCTGTGCCTGCACAGGCATTCAAGGACACCTGCCATTGGCTGCCTGCCTAGCAGTCTTTGTTTTGTTGTTGTTGTTTTCTGAGACAGGGTTTCTCTGTGGCTTTGGAGACTGTCCTGGAACTATGTCTTGTAGACTAGGCTGGTCTCGAACTCACAGAGATCCGCCTGTGTCTGCCTCCCGAGTGCTGGGATTAAAGGAGTGCGCCACCAGCACCAGTGCAGACTTTGTCTTAAAGTGACTAAAGTGTGTCTTATTTTCCTATGCCTCCTTGCAACTTCTTCAACCTCCCAGTGTCCCATAACCCTGCTGCTTTCCCATCATAGGGGCCTGGATCTCACAACAAGCTGAGGATATCAGCAGGAGACTCAGAAGCAATGCTCTGAGTGCCAAATGCTTCTAGGTTTACCCTTTCCCTGGCTGCCATTTGAAATAATTGCTCTCTCTCTCTCCTTCTCCCTGTTGGAATTAAACTTGAAAATATGAGATAACCACACATGCTATGAGAATCTCTCAGGCAATTCTTTTACTTTGTGGAATTTCTCCTACGATTCTCTAATAGATACAAATTAAGGGGAAATTATCCCTAAAGTATGTGCTCATGAGTTTCAGAGAATCAACTTGCTTGAATGAATTGCATCGGTCTTTTGTCGAGGATTATGATATTTTCTGTTTGTTTCTTGTAAAATCATCCTCCTCGTTATGGTAGTGCTCAGTTAGCATTCTCCACTCTTATACAGTTCAGACTCACCTGCCTAGGGAATGGTGTCACCCACAGTGGGGCAGTATGCACACCTCAGCTACCATAACCTAGAAAACTGCCCACACATAGAGAGATACCCAGAAGCTCAATTACCAGATAATTCTAAGTTCTGCCAAATTGACAACAGGCATCACAGTTGCCTTCTCTCACATCATGGCACTTCTCTTTTATTATGACTCTCCTCTCTCTCTCTCTCTCTCTCTCTCTCTCTCTCTCTCTATCTCTATCTCTGTGTGTGTGTCTCTGTGTGTGTGTGTGTGTGTGTGTGTGTGTATGGCCATGGTCACACACAATGTCACAGGCGATCGTGGGCAAGCGTGTATGCACATCTTCTGTTCTCAATATGGGGGGAAGCACACAAGGCCTTTGCTATTATGTAGAGGACTGCATTTCTCCTCCTCCTCACCCAGTTATCAGTGGTGGTGGGTCCTGTGACTCTCCCTTCTGCAGTAGTACTTCGTGGTGTCTTACATTCCCACTGGTGCCATCCTACACCGGAATCTCATCATTCCTTGCCAGTGCTACTAGACCTGTATCAGAGGCCACTCTTGTCTCATCCACCTCTTAAGGGTCTGCAATGTTGACTTCCTAAACTGTGTGCCTCCTCTCTCTCCCAAATGGGCCAGCATCTGCCCCTTCTCAGTGTTCAAACATGCAGACACCCACCCCATTTCTCCAGCCTTGTGAAAGTTTCCTTTGCTGCATTCTTCATTTCCTCTCACCGCGGGATTCGCAGGTCTCTCTGAAGGAGCTGACCAGGTGTCCATGCTGGCTTATGCTTGTCCTCTACTGGACAGCCCGCTTCCACTTTTGTTTCCTAATGAAATATGTTTGGGGGGGGTAATCTTTTGACAACCCGGTAGATGTCAATCTCTGTTTTCACCTAATAAGACTGTGAAATCTTGCTATTTTTTTCTTTCAAAACGTGGAGGTCACCCAAGTGCTAGTCGGCAGGCGAGGGAATAAGTAAACTGACCTGTGCATATACAGTGAACTATTACTTGGGTGTGGGAAGTGTAGGGGAAAAGGGGCCAGCCAAAGAAACACACCCTGAGCAGAGCCAAAGAAAGAAACACACCCTGAGCAGAGCCAAAGAAAGAAACACACCCTGAGTAGAGCCAAAGAAAGAAACATACCCTGAGCAGAGCCAAAGAAAGAAACACACCCTGAGCAGAGCCAAAGAAAGAAACACACCCTGAGCAGAGCCAAAGAAAGAAACACACCCTGAGCAGAGCCAAAGAAAGAAACACACCCTGAGCAGAGCCAAAGAAAGAAACACACCCTGAGCAGAGCCAAAGAAAGAAACACACCCTGAGCAGAGCCAAAGAAAGAAACACACCCTGAGCAGAGCCAAAGAAACACACTTTGGACCTGCACCCAGAACCAAAGAAATGCACCCTAACCCTGGAACCAGTACCAAAGGAACACACTTTGTACCTGTGACAGAAATGCACCCTTGCCCTAAAACTGGAGCCAAAAGACTAAAAAGGACCAGAGAAAGAAACACAGGTTGGCCCTGAAGCCAGAGCCAAATCTGCCCCTGATCCTGAACAGAAAACCAACCAATCCCTGAGCAGGAGCTCTAGTCAATCTGAGCCCGGCGACTGAAATCTGACCAATCCCCGCCTTGGAAGTCTCCTCCCCGGAAAAAGCTCCGCCCCTAAGGAGCCCTGTATAAACCCTGTGCCTGTTCAGTTTGAGGCTTTCTTCTTCCACCCTGGCAGAGGCAGCCACTCCCCAGGATTCTTCCCTCCCAATAAATCTCTTGAAAGATGTTTGGGTGATGACCTTCCTTCTCTGGTGCAGAGATGGAGCAGGGCTGTGACACTTTCCCCAGGGAAGCCTTCCCCTGGGGAAGCAGAGTTGTTGCACTCTGGGGGACTGAAACCAAACTGTAACCTCTTTGTTGGGGAAGCCCTTCCCTGCCTGCCAGAGCAGAGCTGTTACCCTGGAGCCCTCCTGCCCTCCTCTGCCTGAACCGAGCTGTTTCAATGGGTAAGCCTTTCCCTGGAGCAGGCCTGTAAGCTGCTAAGCTTCCTGTGACCGGTGGTAATCTGTGGCTCCCGTGTGCCGGAATGCTTTCCCATCCAGGCTGTAACGCTTAGTTTTGTGTGGCTCCCGGTTGCCTGAATACTTTCCCATCCGAGTCGTATGGCTTAGTATTCTGGGCCTCCCGGGTGCCGGAATACTCTGCCACCGGGGCTGCAACGCTTATCGAAAGGAATGGAGGAGCACTGGCTCAAGCAGCTCTGTCGGCGGGGTGAGACACGAGGAACTTGTGGAGTGTGTGCGAGGCATCGTGAATCCAGGATGCTAAGTGAACCGGACAGACACAGGTACCCGCAAGAGGCCGCAGTTTGCCGAATGAGTCTGCCTACAGGAGCTGTTGAACTCAGAGGTGAGCTGATGTGGCAGAGAGCAGAGACGTGGCTAAGGGGCCCCAGGGACGGGAAAGCTGTAGCTCTAGGTTTCCTCGGGATGCTTGGGACTCTGAGTTTGCGTCTCTGGAACCGAGACGTGAAACCCCCCCAGGTTTACTGACAGTGGCGCGTGGGGTGCTGGGGGCGGAGGGACGGGGAGCTCGTGCTTAATGGGGAGGCCAGGTGGAAGGCCCTCAGGAGCCGGGGCTGTGAAAGGCGTGGTTGTCAATGGCAACACTGAGCTGCTCCTCCTCAGATTTTCTCTTTCCTAGGAGGCCCCTTCTAGAAGCGAAGGTGTGAAGGTGACCGCAGTGCTCCTAGCGCGGGCTCGTCGGGAGCCAGCACATCACACGTCATAAGTGAGAGCCCGAGCCGGAGCGCGGGAGACCGGGCTTCGAACCTGAAGGGTATCCTAGGACAAGTGACCAGGCACAGAGGCGACCGTTGGGATCACTTTGGGGGCCCAGAGCCCGGCAAGCCAGCAGCCAGCAGCCAGGTGGAGCCCAGGCAGCCTGTGAGGTCGCAACCTGAGGCCAGCATGCCCAGGACAAGGCAGAGCAGCCGTCGAGGGTCGTCGTCGTCTGGCCGCTCCCGCACCGCCAGAGCTGGCCTGACCTTCTCTGTGAGCCTGGTGGAACACCATCTTCGTGAGAGCGGCCATGCCCCGCGGCTGAGACAAACGGTGCCGGTCCTGCTGACTGCCATCCTGGAGTTCCTGACTCGCAGGCTGCTGGAGCTGGCCAGCAACGAGGCCCAACGCCGAGGCGCCCAGAGGCTCATCACCCCGCAGCTGCTGGACGCTACTGTCTACAACAACACCTTTCTCAGCGAACTGCTGCAGTTCACCACCATCTCCCGGGCGGTCCCAGCTGGTCCTCGTCATCCTCGTTGTCGGCCACGCTAGCTACGACCTGCTGCTGCCCAGGCTGCCCATGCTGCCTCTGCTGCTGCTGCTGCCTGGCTCTGGGTTGCTGACTGGCCCATCCACCCCATGTATCTACCCATCCAGCATCAGACCATCCCGCCCAACCCTTCCCACAGGCAGCCCTGCTTGTCTGGTCAGCCTCGACCCTTCCTTCTCACAGTTGTGTTCTTATTAAAGCTCTAGTTCCAGAAGCCCATAGGTTTGCTTCCGTGGCTTTGCATTTGGGCATGGATGGAGGGTAGGGGTGGGGATGCGGTGGAAGCCGAGGCTGAGCTCAGCCTAGTTGGAGGAACACAGGGGGAGGACAGGTAACTGGGGTGCAGGTGACCCACAGGCTGGTTCCCCAAGCTTCTCCTTTGGAAACAGGGTGGATGTAGATGTAGGGAGGAGGAGAGTCTGAGGAGGTCCTGGTTGGAGGAACACAGGGGGAGGACAGGTAACTGGGGTGCGGGTGACCCACAGGCTGGTTCCCCAAGCTTCTCCTTTGGAAACAGGGTGGGTGTAGATGTGGGGAGGAGGAGAGTCTGAGGGGGTCCTGGTTGGAGGAACACAGCGGAGGACAGGTAACTGGGGTGCGGGTGACCCACAGGCTGGTTCCCCAAGCTTCTCCTTTGGAAACAGGGTGGATGTAGATGTGGGGAGGAGGAGAGTCTGAGGGGGTCCTAGTTGGAGGAACACAGGGGGAGGACAGGTAACTGGGGTGCGGGTGACCCACAGGCTGGTTCCCCAAGCTTCTCCTTTGGAAACAGGGTGGATGTAGATGTAGGGAGGAGGAGAGTCTGAGGAGGTCCTAGTTGGAGGAACACAGGGGGAGGACAGGTAACTGGGGTGCGGGTGACCCACAGGCTGGTTCCCCAAGCTTCTCCTTTGGAAACAGGGTGGGTGTAGATGTGGGGAGGAGGAGAGTCTGAGGAGGTCCTGGTTGGAGGAACACAGCGGAGGACAGGTAACTGGGGTGCGGGTGACCCACAGGCTGGTTCCCCAAGCTTCTCCTTTGGAAACAGGGTGGGTGTAGATGTGGGGAGGAGGAGAGTCTGAGGGGGTCCTGGTTGGAGGAACACAGCGGAGGACAGGTAACTGGGGTGCGGGTGACCCACAGGCTGGTTCCCCAAGCTTCTCCTTTGGAAACAGGGTGGATGTAGATGTGGGGAGGAGGAGAGTCTGAGGGGGTCCTAGTTGGAGGAACACAGGGGGAGGACAGGTAACTGGGGTGCGGGTGACCCACAGGCTGGTTCCCCAAGCTTCTCCTTTGGAAACAGGGTGGATGTAGATGTAGGGAGGAGGAGAGTCTGAGGAGGTCCTAGTTGGAGGAAGACAGGGGGAGGACAGGTAACTGGGGTGCGGGTGACCCACAGGCTGGTTCCCCAAGCTTCTCCTTTGGAAACAGGGTGGATGTAGATGTAGGGAGGAGGAGAGTCTGAGGAGGTCCTGGTTGGAGGAACACAGGGGGAGGACAGGTAACTGGGGTGCGGGTGACCCACAGGCTGGTTCCCCAAGCTTCTCCTTTGGAAACAGGGTGGGTGTAGATGTGGGGAGGAGGAGAGTCTGAGGAGGTCCTGGTTGGAGGAACACAGGGGGAGGACAGGTAACTGGGGTGCGGGTGACCCACAGGCTGGTTCCCCAAGCTTCTCCTTTGGAAACAGGGTGGGTGTAGATGTGGGGAGGAGGAGAGTCTGAGGTGGCCTAGTTGGAGGAAGACAGTTGTGGATCCCGTATTGGGCTGCCTGTGACCCACAGGCCTGTTTCCCAAGCTTTTCCTTTATCCACGCTGTGGGTGTGTGATGGAGGCCGAGGACGAGGTGGGCCTAATTGCAGGGCCACAGTGGTCGGGACTGGTGCTCGAGTCGGGGGAACCCACAGGCTGGCATCCCTAGTTTTTCCTTTGCGTATGAGGTGTGACTGGAAGGTCTGAGAGGAGAGAATGGTGGTCCCACCCGCATGAACACAGTGATGTTTGGGGCGCAGGTGTGGAAGGGAGGCAGGGGTGGTAAAGGAACAGCCACTCTGTGGGGAGGAAAGGAGGACCTGGGTAGGGATACACGACTTGGCCCGGATCTAAGCTGTGTCAGCCTGGGCATTTGCACCAGAATTGTGGCCTTCTGAAAGGAGACCACAGAGCAGAGGGGACCCACATGCAATGGTGGACTTTCGGTGGGGCCTGCAGATGTGGAGAATAACACTGGGCTAATGTCATGGAGCACTGTGACTCGTTGTTAATCCTTGGATGGCCAGCCTGATGTGCCAGGCGGTTCCCGTGGCGATGGTTATCAATGAGGTACAAACTGGCAAAGGCTGCTCCCCGTCTGGGCCAGTTCTAACCTGTTCAAGCAGGTTTGTGGAGGTGGTTAGGGTCTAGAGATTAGGGCCCGCCCTGCAGTCCTGGGACACTTGGCGTCCTCGGGATCCACCTCTCCATGCGTCACCAAGCCCCGCCCCTCAGCCTGTTGTTTACATACAGGGCCTGTCGCCACAGTTGCCGCCCTACCCTTCTGACAGGCTTTCCTTGCATCTGGTACCCTGCCTCCAGCAGTACAATGCACATCACCGCGGCAACGGGTGTGTTTGGGGGGGGGGGCCTGGGGCGCCTCAGGCGGAAGCTGAGATGACGTGCGATCTCAGCGAGGAGACAGCGCTAGCTTTGTGCTAGCTGTGTCTGCGCACCCCAACCGGAAGTCAGGAGGCGCGGCCGGCCGGTGAACATGGCGGCGGGCTCTGCGTCCTCCCTGGGCGCCGCCGCGTGGCCCGGCTCTGAGGCTGGGGACTTCTTGGCCCGCTACCGGCAGGTGTCCAACAAGCTCAAGAAGCGCTTCCTGCGGAAGCCGAACGTGGCCGAAGCCGGGGAGCAGTTCGCACAGCTGGCCCGCGAGCTGCGCGCCCAGGAGTGCCTGCCCTATGCCGCTTGGTGCCAGCTGGCTGTGGCGCGCTGCCAGCAGGCTCTCTTCCACGGGCCGGGGGAGACGCTGGCTCTCACGGAAGCGGCCCGACTTTTCCTGCGGCAGGAGTGCGACGCGCGCCAGCGCCTGGGCTGTCCGGCCGCCTATGGCGAGCCTCTACAGGCGGCCGCCAGCGCCCTGGGCGCCGCCGTGCGTCTTCACCTCGAGCTGGGCCAGCCTGCCGCCGCCGCCGCTCTGTGTCTCGAGCTGGCCGCCGCCCTTCGCGCCCTGGGCCAGCCGGCCGCAGCTGCAGGTCACTTTCAGCGCGCTGCTCAGCTGCACCTGCCCCTGATGCCACTGGCTGCGCTGCAGGCGCTCGGCGACGCTGCCTCCTGCCTGCTGCTGGCGCGAGACTACACCGGCGCCCTGGCGCTCTTTACACGCATGCAACGTCTGGCACGGGAGCATGGCGGCCACCCGGTGCAGCACTCCGAGCTTCCACTGCCTTCGCCGCCTCCTCCTGGGCTTCCACCGCCGGCCCCTCCAGGACCCCAGCCAAGACCTGGCTCCGAGCCGACCCCGCCCCTCCCGCTGCTCCCGGACCCCGCCCCAGGCCCAGCTGAGCCTTGTCCTGGTTCACTGGGTGCCTTCGCAGATGTCCTTGTCAGGTGCGAGGTGTCCCGCGTGCTGCTGCTGCTGCTCCTGCAACCACCGCCGGCAAAGCTGCTGCCTGAGCATGCCCAGACCCTGGAAAAGTACTCCTGGGAGGCTTTTGACGGCCACGGCCAGGATAGCAGCGGCCAGCTTCCCGAGGAGCTGTTTTTGCTATTGCAGTCCCTGGTCATGGCTGCCCATGAAAAGGACACGGAAGGCATCAAGAAGCTGCAGGTGGAGATGTGGCCGCTGCTGTCTGCGGAGCAGAACCACCTCCTTCACCTCGTTCTGCAGGAAACCGTCTCTCCCTCTGGCCAGGGTGTGTGATAAGTCACCTGAACCAAACAGTATTTGCTCCTGGTACCAACTGGTTTCATCTTTGGGGACAGGTGATGGAAGATGTGATCTTGTTTCTGTTTTTTTCCCGTTTCTACTGACACCATGGTAGTTTAGCTCTGTGGGCTTCGCTTGTTGCATAAATTAGTGCCCTCCAGGTCCAAACATACTGCCTCAAACGAGGTAACTTCATCCTCAAGGCTGAACGCGATTCCATTGTGTGACAATCTGCTTTCTTTATGCATTAGTCTGTTGCTGGATACTGTGTTGATTCCTTTCCCTAGCTGTTCTGAGTATAGAGACAATAAACACTGGAGGACAGATGATCCCTTGGCAAATTGGTTTCCTTTTGTTTTATTCCTGGCAGAGTCTGGCATCATCAAGAAGTATTTAGAAAAGATTAGCAATGTTTATGTCTTGAAAATTATGAGGATTTTCCAAATTGGTCATACCCCCTCTTGTAATATATAAATCAGCATAGCAGTCTGGGGAGTAGGAAAATCAGCAGATGACATGAAATATAATTGTTATAATGTCTCTGTATGTGAACATGAGGACTATGTTGGTAAGCAGAATGGGCATGTTGTCTCATACATTCCAGATTGATTATTACTCTCTGCACACTCTGCTAGCATGGGTTCTTCCTGATTGGATGATGGAAACCTTTCTTCTGAGTTGCACATATGATCTCTTGTTGATCCTGCCTTTATTGGGCTGCAGCCAATTTCCATTATCCAGATGTTTGGGGCCAGAGATTACTCAGAGTCTTTGGAATGGGTTCTCTGTTTCCAAACCAGGGTTTGGATTGCTCTCGTTGCAAAACACAACACAGTTGCCCCTGTGCAATCAAGATCTATCTTCCCAGCCAATACCCAGAGTCCCTTTCCCCTTCTTCCTTTAAGTTCAGTGTCCTGAGAAATCTAATTCCCTAAAACTATAGCTGTGTTCCCTTAAATATGCTTGCTTTGGAAACTAGAGCCACTAAACTACGTAACCCAGTGCACCTGGGACAGGTAGCAAAGAAATGTTTCCTTCTTGGTATTAGGTGAAACAGTGGCCAATTCCACTTTTCTCTGTGGTTCCTGCATCCTTGCATCTTTGCTTTCAGAAAGATAGTGTCATTTCAAGCACTGGTTTAAGACACCCGGCACATCCCGCAGGGTAGTATTCCAACTTCCGTAAGTGTTTTTCCCCTGTTGTCACCCTGTTTAAGCCTGAGTTAGATCACTATTCCATAAAAAGCTCCCTGACAATTGCCCAGTAGGGTGTGTGGTACAAAACCAACGAATTCCACATGCTGCCTTACTCTGTTTCCTATTGCTAATAGCACAGTAAAGAACAGGTTAATTATGGTTTGTGCTTCAGGTCAAGACGAGGTCTGCTGGTAGCTCTCTTACGTTCTATGTCCCCAAGTGGTATAGGACGGTGAGGGCAAAAGATCGGGGAGGTGCGAGAGAGACCAAGACAGACTGACGTTCCTATGGGGTACACTCTCAAATTAACATATCCTAAAGGTCCCATCTCCAACTCACCATACAGTGTACCTCCTGATACCTTCATGAAACATTGGGAGAGTGTGTAGGCAGAGTTTTCCCCACCCCAGGAGCTGCTTCCAAATTATGACACAGAGACTTATATTAATTGTAAATGCTTGGCCGGTAGCTCAGGCTTACTGGTAGCTAGCTCTTACATTTTAAGGTAACCCACAGTCCCTATTGATGCTCTGACATGCGGCAGTACCTGTATCAGCACGGCACATGCATCTCCTGCTCCCTCTGCATCTGGATGGTGACTTCTGACACCGCCCTTCTCCTTCCCAGCATTCTCACTTAGGCTCTCCTGCCTGAATTTACCATACTCAGATCTTGGCCAGTCAGCTTCTTTATTAAACCAATCACAACAACAAATCTCAGTAGGCAAAAGGATTATTCCACAGCATCCCCCCTTTTTCTGTCAAATTAAACAGGAAGGTTTAAACTTCAACATACTACAATTATATATGACGAAACAGTCATTAAGTAAGAATTGCAGTTACAATGTTCATCCCATTTGTATTTGGCAAAATTAGAGAAAATACACTGTTATCTATCTTATCTTGCCAAGTCTGAAGTTTTACATCTGTATTATCTTTTATCACAACTAAGGAAAACTATAACTTATAACTATCTAGGCTTCAACTCCAACAAAGACTCCAGAAGGGTGAAATGTTTCCTAATGACAGGAACATCAGGCTGTCTGGATAGTCATGCAACGTTCCTCTGAAATCTGGGGCATCCAACTCCGGCCTACAGGTCTAGAATATGACAGACTTTCCTGAGAGGCAGGGAATTCTGAAGGACTGTCCTGCCTTGTCTTGGCAAAGACCAGAAGTTGCCTTTCTCGCATCCTACTGGTCCAGTTTGGATAGTAAATTGCCAGCAACTGAGGCAAGGGCAGTTTCTTTGCCCACATGGCTAGCTTTTGCCATAAAGAAAACAAACCCCATAGGGGGTTTCTTTGATGCCCATCGTGTTCTCTGAAGTAGGTTGGTGCTGCCAGGAGCAGATGTGTCTCACTGTAAGAAAAGCCTTAGGTTATTAAACATATTAAATGCCATATTATGTTGGTATTTGAAGACCATCTATCTGTCTCAATATATTTGTTTGTGACCTTGAATACATATCTAACATGACAATAAGTATGAATATTATAGATGACTATTAATCTGCATTTTTAATTATACATTACATTTTTAAATGAGTTGCATGAGCACAATAACCCAAACAAGAGTGGGAGCATACATACAGTATCGCAAAAGTAACCTTAAATTTTTATCAATATACAAGTATCCATAACGATGTGAAATATTTAAGATTAATAGTTGTTTTTTTAGTTTAAAAGTAGATTCAGTAATCTATTATGGTACCCTTTAAAAGGTCTAGCCCACCTTATTTCCTGTCCCAAATAACCTTCTAGACTTATTTTCAGAGAAGGCAGTGGCCACCAACACACTAGTTTTTCTACCAGAGGGATTTGAGATGAATATACTTCTGCAACCCTTTTCAATCAGCCTTCATTATTTTGCTATCCAGTGACCTCCATGACTCCTTCTAGAGTTACCTTTGCTTCCTTGAAGGATCCTCAGAACTAGACTGTAAATCAGGATGGTCTTTTTGCTTGTTTGATTATTTCTCTTTCTCACTGAGGAATCATGATTCCTCATTTGTGCCCTACTCATATCTTCTAAGTCAGTTATGACTTATTCATCTGCTCTTTAACATGTAAATCTTAGTTGCTGCCTCCACTCTGTTCTAATCTTTTCCTTCAAATTATATCCTTCCCATCCATTTTAATAGTGTCTTTAAGAGCTTAGTTGAGAAAGTTTTCTGGAGGACAGGAAGTCAGATGTAAATTTATAACCCCCCTGTTAAGTATACCTTAATCATAATCATGCAGTTCTTGCCTGTCGCAATCATCCTATAAGCTATTGCTTGCAGGATACTCTCCCCAATACTCCCCAAAGTTTGCTTATCTTACCAGTCTCTTTTTCTGTTCTTTAAGCTTTCAACCTTAAGGCTCCCAAAACCTCCAAACAACTTCCTATCCCTAAGTCCTATAGCCTAGAAGTTCAGATGCTGGCTTACCAGATTTGTGCTTCATCACATATTTATCATTTTTGAGGTATATATGGCATTTTCTTATACCCTTTCTAGTGAGCCGGTTCTCTCAGATAATATTGGCAACAATGGGGAACAACTACTATGTACTATTTATTGTGTTCTACTCACTGTAGTAATTTATACATACAACTTTGTTTAGTATTTTTTATCATAGCTCCAGAGTAAAATGCATTCATTAGCTCCCCCTTGAACATGCAGACACAGGCTGATGGGAGGAAAAGAGCTTTTCAAAGGGTAATAAGAAGCCAGGAAGTGGTGGCTCATTCCTTTAATCCCAGCACTTGGGAAGCAGAGGCAGGGGGATCTCTGAGTTCAAGTCTAACCTGGTGTACAGAGTGAGTTCCAGGACAAGTTCCAAAGCTACACAGAGAAACCCTGAAAAACAAAACAACAACAAAAGGTAATAAGAGGCAGAGATGGAATTCAAGCATAGGCCAGTCCAAGTCTTTGTTCTTCTCATGACACTATCCTACTTCAGTGAAAACTTCGGAGAAGAAGCCAGAAAGCAGATAAAGAGAGAGCACCAATTACTGGAATTGGAAGAAATAATTGGTTAGTGGAAAAAAAAATTTTCACTGACTTCATACATTTGTCCATTAACGCTTGTAATCTGTGCTGGTCTCTTTTTAATCACAGCTAATCCTTCAGAGTCAATTGACCAAACCCCAGAGAGGCTTTACTTCCCTATGAAGCTCACAAGCCAGGCTTCCCTGTCTGCATTTTTTTTCAACACTGATATTTTCCATTATCCTACATAACAGTTCACTAAATTTTGACCATTCAGTGGCATTCTCAGCCCAAAGTTCTGCAATTTTCCCCCAAACACAGGTTCTTCACAGCAATACTCCACTTTTCTGGTATCAATTTCTGTCCTCATTAAGTTTCTCTGATAAAACACTGACCAAAAACAACTTTTGGAGGAAAGGGTTTACCTCAGCTTATATTTTACACTCTAGCAGAAAATGAAGTCAGGGCAGGAATTCCAGATAAGAACCTAGAAGCAGAAACTGAAGCAAAGGAGGAATGCTGCCTACTAGCTTGTTCCTTGCGGTTTTCCCAGTTTATTTTCTTATACAACTCAGGACCATCTACCCAGGCATGGCACTACCTATAGTGAACTAGACCCTTCCACATGGATCATTGTAAAGAGAAGCTTTTTCCTTGATAGAGAAGCCTTCCCGCCAGCCTGGTTCTAGAGCCGCATCAGTCCCAAATAAACAAACAGGAGGCTATATTAATTATGAAGCTGTTAGCCTTGCTTGTTTCTTACTGGCTAGCTCTGACTTAAGTAATTACCCCATAATTGTTAATCTAAGTATTTCTCTTACCGGAGAATAGTTCCGGGCTTCCTACCCCATGGTGTTACATCTTGATTCTCTTGTGTTTCTCCTTCCCAGAGTTCTCCTGGATTCCTAGTCCCACCTATCTAGATTCCTATTGGCCAGCAGTGCTTTATTGACAAATGCACAGGACTTCCCCCCAACAGATCATTAATTAAGAAATGTCCCACAGACTTTCCTACAGGCCTACCTGATAGATGAAATTCCTCAATTGAAGTCCCCTCTCTTCAGATTACACTAGCTTATCTTAAATTGACAAAAACAAAAACAAACAAAACTAACCAGAATGTGATCTTCAGTTAAACTGGCATGGTTATCTGCTGACACAGAAAGTAAGTT